CAAACATTGTAATATGAGTCATAAATATGGATGCAGATGATTATTAAAAGAAGTAAAGTAGTCAATTGCTTCTTCCACCGCGAGGAAAGTTGTCTCTCTGTGCCGCGCCAGGAAATTTTTCTCCCCTGAATCGATACTTCAAATATACAAAACAACCATTCGCCCTTGCATGGAGTATTGCTGCCATATATGGGCTGGGACACCTTCTGCTTACCTCGGAGTTCTTGACAAGATCCAGAGATGGATATGTAATCTAATTGGCCCTGATCTAGCGTCTTGTCTGCAGTCACTCTTTCACAGACGCGCCGTCGCCTCTCTCTGTCTTTTCTACAAATACTTCCATGGTAACTGCTCTGATGAGCTGCTCTCTCTGGTTCCCAGACTCCATGAATTCAAGCGCCCTACGAGGCTGACATCCCGCTCCCACCTTTACACCGTAGAAACTCTCAAATGTAGCCGTCTCTTCTACTCCAATAGCTTCATACCTCACACCTCTCGCCAGTGGAACACCCTCCCCAGTTACTGCTTCCCTGAAGGCTATAATCTCCAACTATTCAAATGTAATGTCAATCGACATCTCCAGTTACCTTGATCTACCCACTATCCTTCTCCTCATCCTTTCTCCTATCACTCCTATCTGCTCTCGCTCTAAATCTTCCGCAACCCCCTGCATCCTAGTGGCTTCACGCCTTGCTTGGGGCGTAATGCTTAAAAAAAAATACAAATGAAAAGATACAAAATTGAGAAGTTTTTTCTTCCATTTCAGTGACGCAGATTGTTGAATATATGAATGAGTGACCGACCCTCTATCTTCCCTTTTTTCTTTCTTTTATTCTTTCTTTCTTTTTTTCTACAATGATATAAGACACCTTTTATTTCTTTCTTTCTTTCTTTTTTTCTACAATGATATAAGACACCTTTTATTTCTTTCTTTCTTTCTTTTTTTCTACAATGATATAAGACACCTTTTCTTTCTTTCTTTCTTTCTTTTTTTCTACAATGATATAAGACACCTTTTCTTTCTTTCTTTCTTTCTTTTTTTCTACAATGATATAAGACACCTTTTATTTCTTTCTTTCTTTCTTTTTTCCTTTTCATCATTATTACGTATGCTTTGTTTATCGCACTAAAACAACGTCTCTAAGTGATCGGGTTTTTTTTTGGTGGGAGGGGATTGCGTCAAATGAAATGGTTCATTATTTATCTGTGGTATCGCCAGGGTAGAACGCACGTGCTAACAAACTTAACGGAGGAAGGAAAAAAAATGAATTATGATAAGACTTCTCTGTTAAACAAAGTTGCAAATCAAAGCGATACATTGGGATTTTATTAATATTTAGTCAGTATACTTTTTTAAAATTATTTTTTACTTTTATTAGGTTGGTGCAAAAATAATGACGTAATAATTTCGTTTTTGACGTATTTTTTTAACGTCAAAAACGACATTATTACGTCATTATTTTTGCACCAACCTAATACTTAAAAGTGAACTGTTGGAATACTACGACTTGGAATCATAAATATCTTTGGGTGGCAACAAGAATGTCCTATGCAAATATTAGGTTGGTGCAAAAATAATGACGTAATAATAACGTTTTTTTGACGTTTTTAACGTCAAAAACGTATTTTTAACGTCAAAAACAAACGGATGCAAAGCATTTCCATTTTTGCTAAAGCTGTTCAATTTTCAAAGGTGTATGGTTTGGTTGGTTTGTTTTGTTTTACGGCTTATCAAAGAAAATCATAAATATTTTATTAGGTGAGCACCACCCAGTCTGAAATCCCTTTCTTAGATCGTATCCAATTAGGTTGTTTGACAAATACCGTTTGTAAAAAGAAACTGAGAGCGTCATTTCGGTCACGTCCAATTTATTTTTTGTTTTTTTTAAGCAAGGTGTTTCTTCCCCAGAACAAAGCCACGGATTGTCCACGCCCGATTAAAGACGTCACGAAGGAAGAAGGAAAGATACCGACCAGAGCCTCATTGGCCGAAGGCGGATGGTGACGTGCGAGGGGAAAGATTTAGGACCCATTGGCGAGAGCGGTATCATGACATACGAAATGGGGAATTTAATGCCGAGGCACAAATTTTTTATTGCTGGTGGAATTTTGTGATCAGAAATAAGAAGGGTGGATACGTATTTAGGATTATCAAGAAAACACGGCGCCGACAAACCCCAGTTTTTACGGCGTCAATAAAAGCGGGACCCAAAAAATCAGTATGGACGGCGAGAAATAAATTTGGCGGGCCCGGTTCATTGTATTTGCGGCTGCCGGTCCGTTTTAAAACGAAATTTTTACAGTCATAGTGAAATTTTCGTCCAACCAGTATCGGGCTTAACTATTTGCCCTGACGGCGGAGATGGGAACAATAATTCAGACTCTGAAGAGAAAGAGTTTAGTCGCGGACGGCGAGAGAGAGATCAGCCGTGAACGACAAGAGAGAGTTTTGCGCCGGGACGACGAGAGAGATTGAATGACAGCAGAGATCAGCGCCCAGTGTTGAAACCAAACCCCCCTGATTTCTAGATAGCAGGCAAACTTGCTGTTGGATGGTAGAAGCGTCGTGCCACAGTCCCAGAACGGGTCTGGGAGGTGGGGGAGTAATTTGTAACGTCAATTAGATATAAAAAGGTCAGGATGGTCTCAATATTTTGACCTTGTGAGTTTATTTTTTCTTGTTGTTATACCCCCGTTGGATACGATATCTATCTATCTATCTATCTATCTATCTAATCTCAACTGGGTCTCTCAGTGCAGTTACCCTGGTCTAGGCGTTATTAAACGATAGGCTATATCATATATAAAGGGTTAGAACGTCACACTTGGAGCAGCGAGAGCGAACAGCTGGCGTCGCGAACGGGATCGAACGCCAAGTCGACGCTGCGACCAGGGGACGACGTATATATATATCATACACACACGCACACGAACATTTGCACACCGTCTATTTATGATATTAAATACATTTACTCATAAATAAAACTATATTTTATCATATATATATATATATATATATATATATATATATATATATATATATATATATAAGCCAATACTGGGATGTAGCCAAAGGGATCTTGCCTACCACACAGGCAGTATATTCTTTCTTGAAAATGACAGATAGGGTCGAAAGTATTTAGATGAATACTTGCTGTTTATATATATATATATATATATATATATATATATATATATATATAATAAATGCGAATGTCAGTGCGTCACCGTGTCACATTTTTTCAACTTTACTCCTAGACGCCGTAGTCTAACCTATCATACCAATCTGCTGACTCCGTGAACAAATTGAAATCTTTCCAGGCCAGATCTGGACCCTCAATCCTGAAATTTTGGATTCCCAAGTATTTATTACTGTGATTGTTTTTGTCCATTTTTTACGTGATTGTTATGACGAATCTTTTGTACGATAACATTTTTTTTTTATAATTTGGAAATAAATTTCGGAATAATCAAAATTAATTTCGAAATCCAGCGAAAGTCACCCATGAAATAAAAATAATTGTTCGTACAGAAAGTAAGGACCTACGTACATCAAACTGTCTTTAAATTAAGTGGCGATCAAAGAATTAGCGTTGAACTTTTTAAAAGGCAAGCTTAAATATCAATGCAATACTTAAATGCAGCGATCAATTTTGCGTTCGTCTGTAGTTTATTGTTGCCTATCGCTTCTACTCATCCGCACCTATTGTGATGAAGGCCTAATCAAGATCCCTCTGCAGGAGCTAACTAAAATTGCCGACCGATAGGGCGGATTTTAACATATATATATATATATATATATATATATATATATATATATATATATATATATATATGTCTGTGTGTGTGTGCGTGCGTGTAGTAGTAGTAGTAGTAGTAGTTTACTGCTCGCGATAAACTAGCGACATGTTTGTTCAAAATTCAGTCCTTTGTTCTGTAAACTTGATTGATCTCTCCGCGGCACATGAAAGAGAGAAAGTATATGGGGACTGTGGATTGCCCAGACTACATGGACCCCTCTCGGCCGTACCGTCAAGATCTAAAGACATACAGGACATTACATTTGGGGACGGCTTGGCTGCAAGAGTTGCTGCAAAGTTGTCGAGTGTTTTCTGTCTGGAATAACTCCTATAGGCTTTTCCAAGTTTGGATATGACCGCAAGACAGTGCAGATTTAAAATCAGGATTTTCTTTTCTCTTAAATTGTCTGCGTTTCCCTCAGGTAGTCTGTCTAGGTACATCTACACATCGCAGCTGATCATGAGGCGATGGTTGGTCGCCTTCTCCCATTCTCAAAGGTTGAGACGCATGCTGCGGAAGCATTTTACAGAGAGTGGGAGCTCGTCTCTGGCTATGACAATCTTTGGAGATAGATAGATAGATAGATAGATAGATAGATAGATAGATAGATTGGGCTGGTTTCGACTTTATGTTTAACTGGTTGTCTGCAAAATATGGATAAACTAATCTAAAGAATAGATAAGTTGGCAGTGAAAGGAGCTAAAATCTTACTTGTAATGAAATCTACCCGAAAATACAGATTCGTGGATAAGTTTTCTTCTAACTGCCAATTTAACGGTGACCCTATCTATTCATCTACCTCAATATTATATATAAGTATCTATCTATCTATCTATCGCTGTTCATATCTCAATATCATAACTAATTATCAGTCTGTTCATATATATATATATATATATATATATATATGGGGAGAGAGTGCGGGGATTATGTATTTGTTCCTATTTATCTATCGAAAGTGCGTTCATATATACCCATCATTTGTTCAAATCTATTTCTCTATCTGTATATCGAGCTATATATCTATCTAAATCTGTTCTCATCTCAATATCATAAATATTTATCAGTCTGTTCATATCTGTTTCCCTTTCTCTCTCTACCTCTGTATATATATATATATATATATATATATATATATATATATATACGTGTATGTGTATTTGTGTGTGTTTGTGTGTGTGTGGTATCTATATATTTGTATGTTCCTATTAATCAACCGTTGTTTCATATCTATCCTTCATTTGTTCATATCTATCTATCTATCTATCTATCTATCTATGCATTTCTCTCTCTCTCTCTTTCTATCTATCTATCTATACATTTCTCTCTCTCTCTCTCTATCTATCTATCTATCTATGCATTTCTCTCTCTCTCTCTCTATCTATCTATCTATCTATCTATCTATCTATGCATTTCTCTCTCTCTCTCTTTCTATCTATCTATCTATCTATCTATCTATCTATGCATTTCTCTCTCTCTCTCTCTCGTTCTATCTATCTATCTATGCATTTCTCTCTCTCTCTTTCTCTCTATCTATCTATCATTCTATCTATCTATCATTTATCTATTCTATCTATCTATCTATCTATGCATTTCTCTCTCTCTCTCTATCTATCTATCTATCTATATCTATCTATCTCTCATATCATCTATCTGTCTATCTCTTTCTCTCTCTCTCTCTCTTTCTATCTATCTATCTATCTATCTATCTATCTATGCATTTCTCTCTCTCTATCTATCTTTCTATCTATCTATCTATCTATCTATGCATCTATCTATCTATATATCTAGGCATTTCTCTTTTTCTTTATCTCTCTATCTATCTATCTATCTATGTATGTATATATCTAGGCATTTCTCTATTTCTCTGTCTATCTCTCTATTTATCTATGCATCTCTCTGACTATCTATCTGCCTATATATGTATCTATCTATCTCAATATCATATATAAGTATTTTCCAGTCATAAATGTACGTATGTACAGATTTATTTAGATTTATCATGCGAATTTATCTATTGTTTTCTATATTTTATGTGTGTAGATGATGGGGTGGGGTTCCCATATAGTTTCCCGAGAACTGGAAATCCTTTCAAACTGCAGCGCAACACTTAAATACATGATTATCATTATTAACGATATCGAATAAAAAATGTCTGCCGTATCTGGCCGCTCTTCGTTTGTTAATTACTCTTGTGTTCCTATCAATTAACACCGAGCCAGTTGGACAGATGGTATGACAGATCTGTTAATGAATGTATTCAAAGATAAAGAATCGTCTCTTCCATTTCCGAGACAATGGAATGGTAATTTCACTTGGCGTCTTTTCATCGGCCTCGAAGATTTTGCGAGATAATTCCAGGCTGAAAATCCGCTTGCGCGACCAAATCTGGCCACTTGTTTCAATTTTGACGGACCGCTGATCGGCATTGACGACAATTACAATGTCTGCTTAACTAATTTGATTGGAAAAACCTGTTTTACCAGGATCACATATTCTTTCCTGGTGAATCTTTCAGTGAATCGTTTGTCTGAATTTCTCAATACTTCTGTTTATGCTTGTTTCGTTTTTTTGTTGTTTTTTTTTGTTTTTGTTTTGTTTTGTTTTTTTGTTCTTTTTTTTGTGATTCTCTTTGTCAGATTGTCAGGAAAGGAAAACTAGCAGACTCGTTACTGCCTAACGAGAAAAAAATCTATCAAACTTTTGCGAAAAACAAATAGATTTACCAAGATTCTGTCTGAAAAGTAACGAGACGGCTGTTAGAAAAGGAAAACTAGCAGACACGTTACTGCCTAACTGTTATGTAGTGTGCGAAAGGTTTTTCTTCCTCCGTATGAGTTCGAATCCTTCGTCGCCAAGTTTTTATGTAGTGGTTTCAGAGTGGAGGCTTGTATTTGTACTAAGTCGGTCCTAAAATAGGTTCGATGTACAAAACGTTAGGAACTTGATTTAATAGGTAATGACGCAGTAATCTAGTTGTGGTGGCTGATACTTTAATATCCGACTAACGGTCGTACGACATCGACTGACTAACCAACTCACTGCCGACTGACTTGTTACTCTTGCTACTCCTACTTATTATAGGTGGGAGAGTCTATTAACTATAGAATAGCTGTGTTCCACTATAACACTAACGAAAAAAAATCTATCAAACTTTTGCGCAAAACAAATAGATTTACCAAGATTCTGTCTGAAAAGTAACGAGACGGGTGTTAGAAACAATTTAATTCAATTCCAAACAACAAACTAAATGGCGTCTCATGCAATTTTCCACCCACTGCTGGAAGGATTCCTTTTTAATGTCCCTCAGCTCTGTCGTTACAGCCCTCCTGATGGCCTCCACGCCTTCAAAACACGTTGAGAAAAGAAACAAGTCACACAGCGCAAGAGCAAGTGAATAGGGAGATTGTTGCAGTACGGCGATGTTCTTCTCGGTCAAGAACTGCCGGATCATTGTGAGGTCAAGAACTGCCGGATGTTCAGGGCATTGTGAGCGAGAGAATGTGAAGATTATAGTCATATACTCCCACGATGTATCCTTCCACTAGAACATTACGACTGAGTAGTGAGTTCGATCCTCACTGGGTGCCCCATACTTTCGGCCTTGTGCCACATCTATGCCGTGCTTAGAAAATCACTATACTCTCAAGATATCACATTAGATGATAACCCAGTCCGCATGTCCCGCTTTCGACAGGAGCGCCACACAGCAGACCCAGTCCCGTTAATTCGCAGACAGAACTATATATATATATATATATATATATATATATATATGATCGTTTTTCCCAACACCTTTTGTCTATTATTTACAGTATACGTGTGTTTGTGTGTGTGTTAACAATTTTGAGAATATGAACACGTTTTTTTCCGTTTAGATACAAGACTCCTAGTCTAACTCTCTTACTTTATGTGTTTGTAATATCTATGATTTTTATACTCCGCCCCACCCCAATAAAAGGCCCGAAAACCAGTCAAAGTTAACCCTTCACCCTTTATGAGATTGTTGTAAGGATGTAATAGGTGCATATTATATATAGGATAGATAATGACTTGAAGAGGCGAATAATGCAAGTGGTCAGGGAAGTGTCTTTCCTGGAGTATGTGACACTTCTAAGAGAAAAGCTGTCTGAATAGAACAAAGGGAATAATACAAAGAGAACGAGGATGATCTAACGTTGTATATATGGCATAGGGTTGTCCCAGATATAATGGTCTGAACTGGTGGAACTAAGAAATTTACATGATCCGAAAGTTTTGTCAAGCCCATACATATTATAATTTTGTATTTCAAATGGCTGCCATGAAAATGATGGTGTTCATACAGACCTTCCCGGTGTGTGACTCCGTCAATAAAAGTGAATAAACTGAATCCAGTATATGTGTTTTATATTACTGTATTACTTGTTCTTTTATTGATTACTCTTTAGTGGGGGGGGGAAGACAAAACTTTCGGACGACCCTGTAGATCGTCTGAACATTTGACATAGAAATAGCGTAAGAAAAGCAAAGGGCTAGCAAACATTTAGCCTGAAAAGAAAAGGAAAGGAAAATAAAGGAAAAAGAAGGAAATAAAGGAAAATGAAACTCACAAAAGTAGGGAAAGGAAAGAAATAACTGAAAATGAAACAAATAAAAAAAAAGGAAAGAAAATGAATTATGAAATAAAAGAACAAAAATAAAACTCATTGAATAAAATAACTAAATACGAAAGAAAAGAAAATGAAACGAATCAGTTGAAATAAAGAAAGACTGTATGAATGGCTGAAGTAAAACGAAAAATCTAGAAGAAATGAGCTGGACTGTAAATAAGAAAGGGAAATTGTCAGTTGGTTAATTTGCAGTGTAACACCCGCTCTCAGTTCGCATTAAAAATTTCAAGAATACTTAAATTTATATCTAATTGTACTTGCCCCATTCGAATCTGGTTTGATAAATTTGATAAAATCTACCGTTTTGGAGTTATCGAAAGTGAAAGTTCGTGTTCATTCGCGCCGCGGGTAGCCATTTCCGGCGTTGTTTGTATACATTCGCTGAGGAATAGCTATCAATGTTGGTATCATTGCGCAAACTGACTACGTAAATAGTTCTCGTGCGCAGTAATTGAGACAAATTTAGATAAGATCAGTTCCGAGCTTAGCTTTCCATAGCCTTCCTCGATTACCTTTCCGCAGCTAATGTATGCAAACAACGCGAGCAATGGCTGCCGCCAACGACGCGAATGAATCCCAAATTTCACTGTAGATAACTCCAAAACGGTAGATTTTATCAATTTTATCAAGCCAGATTCGAATGGTGAATGTACAATTTACACATAAATGTAAGTATTCGGTGAAATTTTTAATGCGAACTGAGCGCGGGTGTTAAACTGCAAATTAACCTGTCAGTTTAACGAAAATATAAAATAAATAATTTGAATTTAAAAGGCGCATAAAAGAAAGCTAAAAAACGACGAAAAATACCGGAAGTGCAATGGTTTCAGCCGGAAGCTCAATGCGACTATTATGAAAACTTAAACAAGGGAGTTGTTTTTGTTTTATCCTATTAACTCAGCCGACCTATACATGTCCGCCTGAGACAAACGATGTAGAACAAAAAGCTATTCCTTATATAAAAAAAAATAACTACTAATGTAACATGTTCAAAAACCATACATGAAAGTCAGTATTAATGTCTTTTTTAATCGACAAACCTTACTGACAAAGATGAAGGTCCCGGGTGAATTCTCACTTGAAATGATTCAGTTTAAGGCCTTGCTTATACTATAATTTAAATTAGATCTCGCCCCGATTCACTCTACATCAAAGCTAGTGTTACGATAACAAGATTAAAGATAAAAAAAAAGTATCTCTTTCCGCTTCGAGTATCGCATTCGTCTCACAAAACAAAATTCCACAAAAGTGAAATTTAAAGAACCAATAATGACTAAAACATGACAAAAATGCTAAGTAGTTGTTATTTGGCGAACGAATTTTTTTTTTCCTCCGTATGAGTTCGAATCCTCGTCGTCAAGTATGTTATGGCGAACGAATTTTTTTTTTCTTCCACCGTATGAATTCGAATACCTCGTCGCCAAGTGTGTTATATGGCGAACGATTTTTTCTTTCCTCCGTAAGAATTCGAATACCTCGTCGCCAAGTGTGTTATGGAGGGGTTTCACAGTGGAGGCTTGTATTTGTACTAAGTCGGTCCTAAAATAGGTTCGACGTACAAAACGTTAGGAACTTGATATAATAGGTAATGACACAAAGAAATCTAGATGTCGTGGCTGATACTTTAGTATCCGACTCATGGTCGTCCGTCACCGACTGACTGACCCACTGAGTGACTCCCTCGTTACTCTTACTACTACTACTTATTATAGATGGGAGAGTCTATTAACTATAGAATAGGTGTGTTCCCCTATAACAGTAATGTATCAGTCAAAAGTGTTTAAACGGGCCAGCTCGATGACCCTTCGAGGAATATTCAACCAACCAGCTAGAAGTGAGGCAAATCCACCTTTCAACGTGAGGCCAGCACAACCATCATAAAGATTGCAACCTCTTTGTCCACTCGTACGCTCTATATGTTGACAATACAGTTATTTTTAATCACCCCCACAAGCAAGGCGATAATGCCACTAAGACGCAGGTAGTTACTGGGGGTGTAAGAGAATGTGAAAAATTTGGTGAAGATAAAGGACAATAAAAGAACAGGTTTCCGGAAGACAGATGATGGCAACTGACGTTGCATTTAACTTTTTGAAGAGTGTAGGAAACAGGGAAGCAAGAACCCGGAATTACAATCAAAGAAACTATTAGAATAGAACATACGGTTATATCTAGATAATTCAACAGGAAAACGGTGAGACCTAACTTCCACTCTAGTAGTACGCTTAAATTCACGCTGTCGAGGAAGCAAGAGTGCTCTTTAAAACAACTTCCATGAAAATATAAAAGCCACATCACGA